TTCTAAGTTTTTTTTTTCATACAATTTAAAAAAAAATAGTTAATTTTATTAAAAAATAAATTTAAATTATTATTTTTTTAAAATATTTTTATATTAAATAAAATTAATTTTTTATATATTAATATATTTTAAAAAATTTAAATATATTAAATAGAGTAGGTTATATTTAATGCTAATAATTTATATTAAATAGAACAGATAAAAAATAAAAATAAAATTATTAAAATGGGACGGAGGGAGCAGACAAAATAGAAAGATGAAAAGTCTATACGAATGATTTTTCTCCCTCGCTCGCACAATTAATTAATGACACAAACGGGATCTTTAAGGAAAATGATGCGGGTTCACTTTGCTTTGATGCTTTGCTTCAAAAAGCAACGGTAACTGACGAATCACGATTACAGAAAAGGAGGTCCAATGAGTCGCTTGTTTTATGCTTTTCATGCTCAAAGTCAAGGCTGCCTAAGGCTTTCTTTCTTGTCATATATTAGTGCTGCTGAAAATGTGATCTTTAAAATATTTGTTTGGAAAAAAATTACTTTTAATCTTTTTTTTAATATTATTCATATATTTATTTATATTTGATACTAAATTCAAATTTAAATTTTGAATTTTCAAGAGAACCATGTATGTTTACCTTTGTTAGAAAAGGACAATCTGGACAGTTACCTTGTTTGGATTGTGATTTTGACTAGAAAATTTTTTTATATTTAAGAAAATTTTTTTATATTTAAAAAAAAAATATTTTTCACAAATTAATACAGAACATTTTGTTTACAAAAAATTTAAAAAATAGCAATCCAAGCTAGAACTCCCGGCGATGACCGATAAGTCAAGTCGTACACCACCGACTTTAACTGATGAGAAATGTTTCTACAGTGTCATTTCCACATTCCCCACCAGATGAAGCATATATAATAATTGACTCTTTTTAAAAAAAATATATATTTTTCCAGGTTAGACAGTTGTTAAGGTCTATCATTCCGTTCACGTGACCTGATGAATGAATGAGATGCGGAAATTAATAATTGCGAGCTTCTAGATTTCTCTCCGAAATTTTTTTTTTTTTTTTTGGATATAATGGTACGACGAGTTAGGACAAAATTGAGAGTGACGTGCGATGCCGATCATATTCATACGGCGATACCGTTGGTTTTGGCCACCAGGCCTTTGGCCTGGTTGTCGGTCTGGTGATACGGAAGGTCAAGGATTTAACTCTTATTTTTCATCAATTTATTATTATATGTGGCGATCATAATTGATTTTCTTCGATGAAATATGTATTCTCATCGAGTTTCACTCTCCCGTTTTTTTACTTAGACTAGATTGGATTATAATAATTTTATCGTAGCGATTAAAAAAAAAAAATTGATACCGGTGGTTTTGTACTGCTTTCGAGTAAATGGTTTTGGAGGTCGGTCAACCAAACCATCAAATTCAATTTGCTGAGATACATAGCCAATTCGCAGCACCTCAAGAAAGAACCTGAAATCCTAAATTCTAGAGCCTCGAGAAAGATATGACGAGCACCAAATTTTTATCTGCGGGAGACAAGGGAGAAGGAGGACTCTGCTTTGCCGGCCGTTGGAGCGGAGAGAAGACGTAGGACTGGGAGGAGCCGAGGAGGAGGCCAAGCGGAAATACACTACTATAAAAGCTAAGAGACCAATTTCTTCGAATTGCTAGAAGTTTTCGTGAATCCAGAGGAATCTGGGGGAATGCAATGCAGCTGTCCTTCTGGCAGAGCAACTTTTGAACTTTTTGGTGACGTACTTCCTATTTAACCATCCCCCCCTCCCCCCCACAAAAAATTGATTAACGTACTTCTGGCAGAGCAAATTTGTCCTCTTTACATCGGTTGTTTTAGACTTTATAAAATCTGATTATAAAAATTGATTATATAGAATAATTAAAATTAGAAAAAAACTACTCTTTAAGTGATAAAATTAGAAACTATAAGTTTCAGATATTTTTAGCTGTTTTTTTTTTTTTTTTTTTTGGGGTCGGTTTCAATAATGGCTACTACTTTTTCTGCGAGATGACGACATACAAAGTTCATATCAGGCCCAACTTCTTAATATACAGCCATCCCCTCTTCATTAGGGTGCCGTGTACTATCCAAGTTTTGGAACAAAAAGGCCACGAGAAATGTTTTTCTTCATTATTTAATTTAACATTATCATATTTTACTTAAAATTCACTCTCTAGTAGGACTAGATGTAGAAAAAGTGTACAACAAATGTTTACGAACGTGTTGGGTTGTTAATCAGCGAAAATCTGATGGAGGGAGAGGGATCAAGGACGTTTTGATCCAATTATTATGGTTTGAAACGTCTAAAAATTAGAGATTCTGAATTCAAATTTTCTCTTTGTATTTTGGATTTCATGCTAGGAAAAAGAAATTTTAAAACAGAGGGAGACGGAATAGTTTGTTTTTTGAGAAGCATGTGACGACAGCAAGGGACGATGGCCCTCTATGGTTGCAAGGCTAAAGCATTAGTGTTAACGCACGGGTTGGGTTGGGTCTGGGGCTGGGCCTCACTAGGGTAATACACAAAAACACGTCAGGCCCCAAAACTCGAGTGACGTGACCTGACATCCTCGTGTCAGAATTGGGTGGGATCAACTATGTTTTCATTTTCTTTTTCCTGTTTTAATGCTTGCATGTCGTTGGATTTTTGTAGGGCCAACTGGCCTCGGTGGCTATATACCTCTGTAATTGATTTTGTAATCACAAGTAAGTTGTGTGTGTGTGTGTGTTTGTATATGTAGTTATTTGAAAAATTATTTTACTTATATGAAGAGCATGTTTATTGATTACTTTTTTTAATCTCAAACATCATTTGATAAATATTGTTACAATAATTATTTAAGAAAGATAAAAATAATTCCAAGCTAATTAGCCTCAACTTGACCACCAAAAGTAAAAAAAAAAAAAGGCGAGAAATAAAATGAGAAAAGTACATTTAATTATTCTATCTTCTTATACCAAAATTTTAGGGATACGTTTTAGACTCTCACACAAATCTTTGAAATCTAATGCGATAAAATATAATTACTAGGAGAGTTTTATTATGCTTGTTTGTAACTTTCAACAATCTTTAAGTATTAACTTCACTTTACACCTCTAAAAAAAAATGTATCACTTTTCTACTTTGCATTCTAAACTCTTACTTCTACACACTTTATATTCTAAACTTTTAAATTTATCCAATTTAAGTTCAACCAATAATTACATTCGCAAAATTAATGAGATAAAGGAGGACAGTGAAAGCTAATGACAATGCACTATTTTGTTATGAGTGCAATTTCTTTGATCGCCTTTAGGACATTGTCATTGATTTATACTCTCAATCACTACTATTATTAGCAAAATTTATGAGATAAAATATGGTATAAATTAATGACAATATATGCTTTACGTTTACTATGATACGTTGACACTTTTGACCATTTCCAGCATATTATTATTAATTTGTTGAGTTCTCTATACCATTAATTTTACTAAAATTGTCATTGATTGGATTTGAAAGAGACAAATTTGAAAAGTTTAGAATGTGACATATCTAAAATTAAGAGTTTAGGATGCGAAGTGAGAAGGTCATATAAGTTTGGAAGTTTTTGGTAGAGTTAATCCAATCTTTAAAATCTAATGCAATAAAATGTGTAACTATTGGAAGAGTTTTATTATACTTGTTTGTAACTTTCAACAAATCTTTAAAATCTAAGGGTAAATCTTTTATACACTGACAGTGTATACAATAACGGGTCTAAATACATGCCACACATACAAAATTTGATGTTTAAATTTAAATTCAGATGATGTGACATTCATCCTATCCGCCAGTATATACACTGACAATGTAGGAAAGATTAATCCAAAATCTAATGCAGTAAAATGTAACTGTTGGAAGAGGCATATTATACTTGTTTGTAACTTTCACGGTTACAATGCCCAGTAGGGGAAAAATAAAAACATTTTTTCACATTTTACCTTTGATGCTTGGTAATTAGCAGGAAACTGGGTGCTGACTCTTAAGTTTTAACATTAAGGATTGGGGTAGGGTAGTTCAATACCTCTAATCAATAAGTTACCTACCGTTTAAGCCTAAATTGGCCGATTAAACAACAAACCGTAGCATGACAGCATTTTTCCATTACGAGGTGAAACTTTGAAACGAAAAAAAAGCAACGGTAACGAAATTTTTTCTGCTTAAAAATACCTCTCAGACACTCTGAAAGCTTGATTTATATTTTAATTAACTGCATCTTTAGCATTCGACTGGATCTAGATTGTCTCTTCCATTGTAGCTTTAGCAGGAATGTTTTTATTTAAATCACATCAGAGACAAATGTGCAAAAACATTTCAAGTTTTCAACTCTCTTTTTGGTACACAACACTCATCGTTATTTCTTTTTCGTTTTACGTAGGATTTTCTCATTCATGCAGTCTTCAATTTACAATTGGGAAATCTGCTTTCTTAGTAGTAAAAATTACCAACTCCTTGTGGTTTTTTCCCCTATCATAAATTTTAGAGGATCGGGAGATTATGCAAATTCAACTTAGCAAATTGAATGGTCAATAGAATTAGTGAATGTCACAACATCTATTTTCTTTCCTTTTCTCTTTCTCATTTAATATCGTGTAACACTAGGAAAATGTAATGCACAAGACAATAGACATCCGCAGTTTTTCTTACAATTTTTTTGTAGGCTACCAAGGACTAAAGAGAACTCTGGGATTTAATGATGCAAAAGAGACATAAAAATTAATTCCATGAGCAATTTGTCCAAAACATTTGTCCCAATTCTCGATCCATGGTAGAATGTTCTACAGAATCTTCATAGTTGCCCTCATTTCATAACGTGAAAAACTTCTTTAGAAAAACAGAAAAAAAAAACTGGTAGAAGAGAAGTCTATCAAATAACTGGTATGAAGATTCATAATCCCAGAGAAAACACAACATTAGATCTCATTTCAATTTTCAAAGAAAATGGCATTTATTCACATAAAAGAGAAACAAAGGAAATTAAAAACGATCAAAACTAAATCAACAACAATCTTTTTTTTTAATTTTTCCAAGTGAAAGAGCCAGGAAGCATCTAATAACTACTTCTAAAATCTAAACCTAGCAATGGCAACTAGTCATTCCTTTCAAAGCAAGACCACAAAAGAACCTAATTCTCCTTGCTTACCTGACGTAGCTTTAGGCCAATGAACGCATGCAGTTCGAAAACCTCTCCCGGAATAATCACTTGATCAGCTTCTTCATCTCAATGGAAGTCAAGAACTCTCAGATTCGAGCCCTCCAATTAGTCGTCCAACGTCAATTGTCAAACACCCGACAATTGGTGCAACTCTTGTAGCTCGTTTTTCACAAACTCTACCACATCAATCAACAGAATGCTTGCTTTCTTCCAATTGAAATCCGAAACTTCCAATTACTAGTACGTATAACATAAGACAGCATCAATGGCAAGATTTATAGCCGATTTCGGTATAGTATGCATGCAGGCTGCACGCCTGGGCTTGAACAAAGAAACCGGGTCCAACGAATTTGTCAAAAATCAAAAACTGAAGGATCGCCATAATCCCAAATACTAGTAGGCGGATATTCATCATCATTAGTCAAAGGCCACAACGGTGGAGATCCGGGGCATCCAGACACCGTTGGATCTGAGCATTCCGAAACTGATGGTGCAGGTGCTGCAGCCACTGTTTGGGTGCAACAAAGAGACAAGCTAGACCCAACTGACCCTACGAGCGAGTTCACTTCATCGTACAATAACTTACTTGGATTATGACAATATTGTTGTTCTTGTTGTTGCTGTTCATGATTAGGGTTTGCACCGCTCGTAGTAGTAATATAACTACTGGAGTCAACAATCCCAAGAACAACATTCATATCATGACATCTAGCAATAGTACTAGTACGGTACTCTTCTGGTTGCTGACGTTGCGGTTGTGGCTCTTGTAAGGCTAGATTTTGCTGACATTGTACCATGTTAGGGTACTGTTGTACGGTAGCGGGGTAATATCCGTACGGAGCATAACCCGCCACCACGCCACCAGCAACAGGCAAAGAAGCTGGTGCAGAATAGAAAGTCAGGCCGAACCCGGATGGCCGAGGAAGAAGCGGACGTAGGTTTTGCGTGGAAGATGATGAATTTGAGGACCTTGATGAAGATTGATCAGAGGGTGCTCCGCCGCTTTCACCGCCAGTACCCGATGAGGGTTGAAGGTTGAGCTGAGCCCTCGAACCGTAGAGGATAATGGCTGCGCGGTCATAGGCTCGCGCAGCATCTTCTGCGGTGGCGAAGGTGCCTAGCCACCGACGCGTGCGCTTTCGTGGCTCCCGGATCTCGGCCACCCATTTTCCCCAACTACGCTGTCGCACTCCTCTATACCTGAACTTGTTATTGTCAGGTCCTCCTTTGCCTTTGCCCTTTTTGTTGTTATTGCAGCTGGTGCTACCACTAGAGAGGTCACTGCCGCTGGAGGTGGTGGTGGCATTGGCTGCGGCTGCGGTGGCGTTGTCGCTGTTATTGTTGTTAGAAATTGAGTAATTGAGGGTAGGGTCTGTGTCTTGTGAAAGGTGACTAGTGAGGTGGTCTGCAGTGGAGTTGCTCATAGTTTAAGCTTTTTTAAGGACTGAAGGGGCTAAGTTTTAAGTGCTTAGTAAAAAAGAAAGATTGGAAAACTTGTGGTGGTTGTGGGCTGTCTCTACTGTGTGCTGTGGTGGCCAGCTACCTCGTGCTCTGTTTACCCAATTAGTCGAAAGAGAAGACTATGATGGCTTGGTTTCAACCACAGCACACACCTCTGCAAATGGTGGATCCGGGCGGTGCTATTCTTCTACGTATAACGAATGGTACTAGTATTACAATACAACGCCACTAATGTCTTTATATACGTGTACCTTATGAAGCAAGAGAGGGATTGCTGCACCGTTAAGGAACCTTTATACACTAGAATTTGGAAGGAAAGAAATGTTGGAAAAGAAATCGATATTGGGATCTTGTATATGGCAAAAAAAAAAAAAAAAAGTTTTGGTAAAACAATAAAAGATGAAGTCCAATTCAATATTACCTAGTATTAAATTTTGAGGCATGTTACTGTGGGCATGCGTGCTTTGTAAATTGTGGCTTGCAGCTAGAGCTTCTGGAATTAGCTTACCAGAGAGCTTCTGGAATTACGACAGCTCTTCAGAATCGTAGTAAAGTAGATATATGACTACTTAAAAGACCAGTTCGTGATCCTAAGATTAGAAGACAAGTGATTAATAGACTCTGGTCTAGTCTTGAAGTACAAACGAATCGAATTTAATCTAGTAATTTGCAATTTTACTTGATCAAAACTTGAATTTGAACTTATGTTGATTGAGTTCGAACAATTCAAACTCCAGTATGAGTTCGAACCTAATACGTGAACTCGAAAATTCATCCAATCTAATTGAGTTCGATTGAATTTCACACATATATAATTTTTAATTTATGAGTATAACACATCTATTTTGTCCTTCTTTAAAATTATATAAATATAAATTTATCTATTTTAAACTTGGTCAGATTCAATTAAATTTGATTGAGTTGAAACTAAACTTGATTGAGTTTGATTTGCATGACCTCAAGTTCGAATTTGAATGATACAAAACAAAATCGAACTTGATTCAACTCCATTGCGCCCCAACTCTAGGCTAACAGTTAAAGCGATCCTTTGCACGACCAGGTATACCCATGTACTGCATGTAGAAGAAGACGTTAATCCAAAAAATAATTAAAAAAAAGGGGTAAATAAAAAAAAACATGAAATATGAATCCAATGCAATTTCGAAAAACAGCAGGTATAATTCCAAGGATGGTGGAATACTTATCACCCTGCGTTCAAAACTCCAAAGAAATGTGACAAAATGAGGCTACCAGGAAATGACGGTGAAGAATTAAGAAACTAAACCCGCGAGACAATTATTTAACCGATAAACGATGAAAGCCATGAAATTTATATCTTATTATGCCCATGATTGCCAGTGCAAATTTGTAATCAAGGATAGATGTCAAAAGATTGGGAAACTTTTACTTCTCTGTGCCAGAATGCTGTAGCCTTCGATATAAGAAAAGAGTATGTATAGTAATTCTTTTGTTTCGGGTCTTGATTAAAATCTTTTTTTTTTTTTTTAACCCTGATGATGCTTTCAGGCATTTAGAGAATGAAATTTGACCAAAACATATTACTTGGAAATGGAAATAAAATTGCTTTAGGACTAGGAGTCTTGTTCCAAGAATGCATGACTACATCGGAAACGAACAACAAACACGACCTTTTCTCTTTCCGTCATTAAATTTCCTCGGAATGCGCCGACCGAGTATTCTTCGTTAAACGATCTAGCTGAATTCAGGTGCTCCTTTTTAGTTTGAGTCGGTTGGAAGGTTCCCGCTAGGGGTATTCTGGGTTGCTTGATACGGTAGGTGTATGAAGCTGCAATTTTTTTACTAATTGCTGTGGTGTAAAGTCTATTAGTATATGTTCTGAAATTCTCAAAGCAAAGTTGCCCTTGGTTGTTTGGACCCAAATAGATGAAAGAGCAAACATCAAGGAATTTGATTCTTTTTCTCTTCCCCTTTTTGATCAGGTTCAGAGAATGGTCATCATGCCGGAAGCCCTTTTTGCTGTGTATACATGTAAAATGTTGAGCTTCCAGCAGTGCTCCTGCAGGATCACGGGTGTGCCGTACAAAAATAGCCGCACTGCTTCAACTTCGCTATTTTATACGGTACGGTGGCACTATGGCAGGGATATCATAACTGAACTCTGTGCAAAAAATTATTGAAATTTTGGGGTTTTTAGGAGGCCATTTACTAAAGAATACACAGATATTTCTTTCTTGAGTTAAGAAACAAAAAAAGAATGAAGAAATGGGTTTTTTCCTTCTCCCTCTGCGCGGACTGTCTAAGAATCGACGTACCATTTCTTTAAAAATCCAAGCTGGTCTCCTAAATGACAGTTGCTTCACAGTTGCGTTTTGTTTTTTTGTTTTTTTTTTTTCTGGTTCCAGACGACAGTACCTGAAAACCAACCCCTACCCAGTTCATTCTGCAACATAAATACAAGCACAAAAGTATCTGAAATGAAAAGGCAATTCTTGCAAAGATTTGTTCTGCGTGCCTAGAGAACTGAAACCCTCATATAACCAACTGTACTTTAAAAAAAAAAAGAGCGTCTGTATCACTCCACAGATAGAATAAAAAAATACTACTTTTGTTTACCAATATGATGTTGAAGATGAACCCTTAAATTCCCTTTAAAAGTAAGTGAATAGATTCGAAGCATACGAAATAGGGTTACTACTTACGAGGAGGATGATAGCCCAAACTGTTATTGCTTTTATTGTGAAAATTACACATTTTTGGGCCAAGAATGGAATGCCGCAAAGACCAAGTGTGTATGATAATCAAAAAAGGTATTTTCAGCAAGTGGTAGATATTTTGTTAAGCCTCCCGAAGGAACCATATTCTTTTTGCCACAATCTTAAAGCAGTGCTAAGAAATTTATACGTGACATTCCATAAATTTAAAGGGCATATAGTACGTAATAACAAATATGAATGAAAAATGTAAGATCTGATTGCAATATAGCAGAAAAATAAATGAATGGGGGAAGGGCAAAAACGATATCCCGCGGCGCCAAGCAAAGGCAGCAACCGGCATTGGAGATTCAAAAATTTCGACGGTGGGCAAAGGAAAAGGCAAGTTTGCCGTTTTGCATGGGAGAGACTGACGCGTCCGCAGGCAAAACAAAAGCAGAAGAAGTGTTGGCAGCAAACAGCATAGCATGTGGGGGAAGCCTGCAATTGTCTTGGAACTCGCAATAATAATACTAATAAGGGCAGTAAATGTTCAATTGAAGTTGTTGGGCCCCAGAATCCATGGGGAAAAAAAAAAAAGAACAGCAAAAATCAGTTTGGTCTATACCTACAGCCTTCCACCTTTCGCCCTAGTTCTCTATGCGGCGGGAGGGTAGGCATTAAGTAGGCGTAGTATGCGGATGAGGTATCGCATGTAGCAGCAGTAGGTCTACGGCTTCAGATTTGTATGGTAGGAAGGGAGCTGTTCATATATATATATACATATATATATATATATACACACACTCAAGAAATTATCACATTCAATAACTTCAAGATGTAGCCAAATACAGAGAAGTTCTTACAAGTATGAGATGATTGCCAAACTCCGTAAGATGCACCCTTTCTTTCAAATGAAATGTGCTCCCTATAGGCCACAGTAAGAGAAGGAAACAAGGAAGAAGAACCAATTTTGCGATCGGTGGGGCATGCTTTTCTCGGGGTTGGAGGACTAGTCGAATGTAGCACTGGACACCTCCAACTGAAAAAAAAAAAATCAATTTTGCAAGTTTAATGAAACTGTTTGTGAAGGTCACAATTATTTAAATGAAAAGTCAACATAGTACGAAAAGTACATGCTATGCTAAAAAAAAGCGAAGGGGTTTACCTTGCGACATTGTAAAAGCATCTGCAATAAATTTTTCTCCTTAATGGACGTTCATCAATTTTTGTACCCCGGCCAACTTCGGGTTTGAGAGATTGGCACTGGATCCGTCTTTCTTGATCCAGCCCATCTCTAGGGTTGAATTGTTTGGACCATGCAAAGAATGTTGGTTTCAGCAACATCCGATTATTTAGAGATTCGTTACGTTTGTTTTTAATTGTGTGTGTGTGTGCGCCTCTCTCTCTCTCTCTCTTTCTCTCTATGTATATATACATATATGTATGTGTACGTGTAAGGGCGACCTTTTTTAATAGGTGAAAAATAATTTTCTATTTATATACATATATGTATGTGTTCGTATTACTTTTAACTAGATTTTGGTCAATTTTAATTTATAATAGTATAATTTACGACTAATAATAAGGTTAATAATGTCTTAAGTGAACTTTTACCTTGTATTCACGCGCACTAGTTCTACTAAATTTATTAAAAAGTTACTTTTGCTTATGTTGCATAATTTTGCATTCTTGGGTTCTTTTTTTTTTTTTTTTTCCTTTTAAGGACACCAAAACTAATCTTCTGTGTCTTTGGTACGGTAGGACACGTGGAACCGCTTTAGAATGCACTCTACATATACAAAGTATACAACTAAGCAAACTTGAAAACCATCAGCCTTAGGCTGATGGCCACCACCAAGCCTTTAAGGCTTTGGTGGGGTGGGAGGCAAGGTTCGAACCCTTGCCTCCCACCAAGTTGTCACAGTTGTGGTTCTTCAAAAAAAATTCAGATGGGTGCGTGGTGCACCCGTCTGGTCCGGTGGTGATTTTGTCTCTATCGGTCCTCCCACTGGTCCAATTGGGTCTCCTCGTAATTAGATTAGAATAGAGTAGGATTAGAAGTAGGGTTACCGATTAGCAAAAAAAAAAAAAAAAAACTAAGCAAACTTGAAAGGGTAACCTTTTGTGAACAGAATACAAAATCCATTCTTTTAAGCATGCTACCTTGGGCCATGCCATGAGTAGACGGCCCATGTGAATCAGCAGTACATTGTTTCAGGGACGACTGAGATGCAGAGTCCTTCAAGTCTCTCTGCAGCAGAATGAGCAGGGCCGGGCCTTCGCTCAATCTCGTAATTTAACTGCACTTTGGGAGACACCGACTGTACTGCGCCCGACAGACATCGTCTTCAGCAGATACCGTGATGAGGGAGGATAATGATGAAAGCGAGAATAACTGCTGCTTAATTAATTATGTACTTTCATTACAAATTAATTCTATTCGTCGCCGACAAAGAAGGTTTGCAATTGATTGGGCAATTACGTTGACATAGGATTT